ATCTACTGCTAGTCTTCTGCAGTACTGTATATTTCTGTGAACATTCACTAAAACAGCATGTGTCTGTCTGAACCTTCATCCACTAGCTGACACATTTAGCTTCTTATATTTTTATGAGTCCTGTGGCCACGGGTCCGGTTGGACACATGTCATAATGATTTGGTTGGACATCACCTCCATCACCTTTTCATCCATCAGGCAAATCATGACCATTTCAAAGTTCTGCAGTCCTTCCAGGTCCTGCGCTTCTGGCTCAGCTGTTTTTGGATTATTGTTTGGTGCACGTTAATTATTTAGTAGCTTCTACCAGTGTCCATTCAAACACAGTTCATATAAATATGACTTGACTTGGGGGAAAAAAACAGCTTGCTGTTCTGTATGTTGGTAGATGCATTCTTACCTATAAAGTTAATCATTTAAAATGGGCTCAGATCAAGTTTCTTGAAGCACAACGACAATCATTAAAATTTGTATTTTATGATGTTTTCATTCTGTAACCATTTTATTACGTTAGAGAAGTCAGTTAGTTGATTATGGCTTGTGTAGAGAAATATCAGATCTTCTTTTAATGAAGCACATAAAATCCTCATTCTTCCATAAAGCAGTAATAGAATAGGAAAGGACATTTTCTGATAAGATATAGATGAATATGGCACCTTCAGACAATAACAGAAAATATAAATCATCCACTAAACTAACATTTCCTCTTCATGCAATTTGTTGTTAAAAATATAATTAACTAGGCAAAGTAAAACTATTATATTGTATTATAGTATATTATATTATATTTTCAGTTGATGCAACTTAAACTAAAGTTGCAGCCTGAGTTTTCCTTGAGCATTTGGCAGACCGCTTCGCATTTCTTTTGTGGGAAGCCAGTTAAAGTCAGTTGTGCACTATAAATCAGATTGCATTATGGGTACACACCAGTGAACTATATATGGAATGAAATTGTTCACTAAGAATTTGGACAGAACTACAAAATGCTGACACCCTATATAGTGCACTGTAGAGTCTCTTGTGAAGTAAGGGAAATCCCTGGAGCCCTCATCAGCAAGCCCATACACTGGTGGGCATCCATCAGCTGACAACAAATCTTTTTGATAAATATTTCATTGTGACCATGAAACTGTATTTTGCATTATTTTTATGCCAAAATATATATTTTGCCCGTATGGCAACTGAATTATTTAGTTGTTTTTCTTTGTGTATGTATATGTAGCATCGTATTCAGGATGAGCCTTCACCCCAAAAAAACCATGATTTTATTTGTGTTGTAGATTATTTATATTTGGTGGCGCAAAGACCGATTCACTAATTAGTTTTTCCCTTAAAATGTTTTTAAAAATAAAGAAATGAGTAGCACTTTGTTTTGTCCTCTCCCTGTTTGAGAAAAGAGAATTTTTATGCTGTGCTTTTTAATATAAAGTCAAGTAAGGTTTCCTTTATGATTATTTAATTGCACATGCTGAGATGTTTTAAATCTCACAGTGCTTATGTGCATTTTTCGTGATTGCTATGCATAAGGTTTATACTTGACTGCATTTTTTTTCTCTCATCTCTCAAATGTTTTGCTTTTCTGTGACTCTAATATAGCATGCATTGTTGCATTTTCATCCAACAAAAACTCCTGAATCCAAAGATTTGATGTGTATCCACTGAAAAAGAAAATCCTTCCCATGGAGGATTTTCTTGTAGTTTGAGATTGATCCGTGATGTTTGCGTGGAGAGGGCATCTCTCAAACATGTATGGAAAATGTTAAGCAGTCTGAAGAGAGAGGTTTGATCAGAGGAACCTCTCAGTGAGCTTTGACTGTTAACTCGGTTAGCTCTGACCTCTAGTGAGCCTGTCTATGTCTCTACAGACAGACATAACACGGCTCTCAATGACCTCTGTGGTTCTCTCTCCTTCTCGTTCTCTTTTTTCTTCTTTCTGTATAATTAATGCCCGTGGAGCACATCAATTTACATTAAAAACAGAAATACACTGAAGACATGATATGAACATAAGTCTAGTGCCCTCTGCCATGTTTTCTGCCCTTAAGACATTGTGATATGCATCAGCATTCTCTCATAGAGACATGTGAGTAACAAGTCTGAGAGTATTTATTCAGTAAACAGTTAAAGTTCATAACACTTTAAATAGGGGAGAGCAACACTTTGTTTTCTTCTCATTTGTTTAGCCTAAAGCTTAGATATTTTGCTCTATTATCTTTGACATGGGTCAAAAAACTTTACTCATGTCAATTATATAATTATGTGTTAGTTTAAATATATATGTATTGGAATAATTAAGATTTTGAAGTGTAAAAAGTAAAAAAAAATTAGTACAACTGTTACAGTTAGTAACTGTTTTCTATTTTAATACAATTTAGTACACACACACACACGCACACACACACACACACACACACATATCTATATATATATATATATATATATATAATATTTAATTGTACTATATATATATATATATATATATATTCAGCAAAGGTGCATTAAATTAATCAAAAGTGACAGTAAAGTTGTAAAATAACTTTAATAAAATTTCTAATATATGCTGTTCTTTTGAACTTTCTATTCATAAAAGAATCATTAAAAATGTATTGTGGTTTTTTACAAAATATTAAGCAGCAAAACCTTTAATATAAAGAACCAATTTTTTTATAATTAACACCTATAATAATTGAAATAATTTGCTGCCTGTGAATTTGTGTCAAATCCTGCATTTGTCCAGAGCCAGTGATCCTGATGGAAGTCTAAAAAATCCCAAATCTCCAGTAAACTTTTAGAAAATTTAGCATTTCAACCCCACAAACAGCTCTGGTCATTTTCAAATCGATATGAATAAAACACTAATCTAAAACCGCTATTTTGCGGGTTACTTGAAGAGTCAGGAAGCATCGGCGTCGAACATTTGTTTGTAAATAGTAATTTCATCTGTTTCACTGTATTCTGTTTACTGTGAAAAGAAGCCAAAAATGTGCTTGTGTTCATATTATTCTGGACGGGGATTATTCTCAAGAGAGATAATAGGTTTATCAGTTTCTCACGCACATTCTTGACCCAAAGTTCAGGTCTGACGGCATCCAGCCAGCAGAAGAAATCAGTCAGTGATTCTGCCTGTCAGAAGAAGAGAGAGCTAGAAGACAAACAGGGAGCGGATGGAGCAGAGACTGACAGGATAGGGCTCACATCCAACGGATCCCCAAATTATTTGGTGTTGAATGGCCCAGACGGGATGTCAGGAGACACGGAGAGCGCAGTGTCAGGCTGCTGAGCAGATAGAGAGGTGAAACAGAGAGTGAAAACATCTCCTCAGCCGCTCTGAAGCCATGTGTTAATTACGTCTCCTATCACCCTGAGCTGAGAGCTGAGATGGAGCTTCAGGGTCAGTGCCGCCACTCGCTGAGCAACAGATGGGTCGTTTGTACAAAACAAGTGCTTTTTGGGTCCCAGTTACATTTTTATAGTATAGCATCCTCACTAGTTCATTTTTGGATGCATTAATTGCGTAAAATACTAATAAAGAAGATATATACACACAATTCAAAAGTTTGGGGACAGTAATATTTTTTTTAATGTTTTTAAAGTATTTTCTTCTGCTCACTAATGATGCATTTATTTGATAGAAATCACAGTTAAACAGTAATATTTTGAATTATTATTATTATTATTATTATTGAAAATAACTCTTAAAATGATGGCAGAATTGAATTAGCAGCTATTACTCTGTAGTCTGCAGTGTCACATGATATTTCAGAAGTCATTCTAATATGCTAATCATCAATGTTGAAAACAGTTGTGTTGCTTATATATATGTTATATATATATATATATCATTTTTCAGGATTCTAATACAAATATATAATTTCTTTCAGGATTCTTGAATGAATAACAAGTACAAAAGAACAGCATTTATTTGAAAAGTGTTTTTTATAACATTGCAACATTTTTATTGTAACTTAAAATCAATTTAAATTAAATTTTAATTCATTAAAAAACTTTTGAGTGGTAGTTTATGTATAATGTCAATATTCTTTATTGCATGTATTTTTATATATACAATAATGTAAATTTTATATTATAGCATTATGGATTATTTGTGGATTTTTTTATTTATTCATTTTATTTGTTTATTATTCTGCATAAATTATTAATTTAAAATATGTAAGATTACATAGAATATTGATATTATTTTAAAGATTTTTATAGAACATTGGAATTATTTTTAGCATTATAGTTTCCAACAGCTTTAGAAAAAAACAATCTTGAGAACTCAAATTAAGTGATCTAATCTCACACAATCCAATTTATCAACACTTGAAGACATTTTTCTGTTTGAATGTACTTTAAAATTACCTTTTTAAAAAGGCACTTGTTTGATGACTCCTCCTCCTCTCCTTCAGCAATATTAAATATTAATCTCCTTCAGTCTATTTATTCTCAATCGATACGCTGTGTTAACACCAAGACTGCTTTCCCATCTCAGCTCAGGCTCTGGTGATTAATATGGCAGTTAGTGGCATCATCTCTTACATTTACTGGTCAATGTGTCATTACTTTCTAATCAAGATTGCGGTGTGACGACCCCGGCACTTGCCACAGATGCATGGCGGAACAGTAATTTATCATGTCGAAGCAACTTAATGGATCAGTAAATCTACAAGAAATTGGCAAGCACCCATGATAAATATAGCTAATAGACCACATTTTGTGATGCGAGATGGGTATGTACAAACAATTATGTGAATTATATAACAGCGGAGGTGCTGGTTTAATAAAGAAGTGGGCGTTTTTTGGATGAATAAGTAGTGAGTGTTCAGTGTTGGATTTGTGTGCATATTCAGCAGACTTGTTTGTAGTAACTGCTGAAAGTGTGGAGAGAGTTGAGCAGTAAACAGCCATATGGAGATGTTTGCGTAAGTTTTAAAGTGTGAGTACATATGCTAGTCTATGGCACGATTTCAAAACTGAATCCTTCTCCTTCCTATCCGCAGGTTTTCCCAATGAGCCGGCAGCAGAAATCGCCCTGAAGACCGTGCATGACTGGATCCTAAGCAAACAAGATGAGGTATGAGCAGTAAACCCTTCATAGTTCATATGTCCTCTCGCTTCAAGTTAGAGGAGAATACCTGGTTTGAAGGGCAGATTTTTTTTTTTATAATAGGAAATGCTTGTGAAGAAAAGGATGTGTTGGAACCGGAATCCACAGTCCATTTCTCTGATGGAAAATCAATTAAAGCTTACAGCTCTTCCAGGAGGAAAATGTGAAGTGGCAACTGCTCTCCTCAATTGTCATGTTTGTCCTTAGCCACTACTAAAGACGTATGATAATGCTTGGCTACACAACTTTGAGGTTTGAGCACTTTTTAGCAAAGCATTAATGACCTGCCTATTCTTATATCTGAGAAACTAGATCTAGGCAACAAATTCCTTGTGAAATCCCCAAAAACCAAGCTGCCTTGATCATCTGTGCAGCTAGTTACCTTCACACGCTTTGAATTCGAAAGCATTTCAGCTTGAGTAAAGTCCTTACATGGTCTGTTGGCTTTTTAAATTGGATTGTGCTGCCTATTCGGTGCATGAAGGTAGGGAGGAAGTGTGAATAAAATAAGCAAAATCTTCAAAATGAATTTGTACATCAATTAAGTCATTACAGTGCTGTTGAAAGAACGAACGCATGAATGTGTAGTGATGGTGACAGGTGGATGTGTTAATGAAGTGTTTGACTTGACAGGTTTATTTGTGATTATTTACGTCATTGTCTTTTCATAAAGATTGCTTCAGTATGTTTAGACCAAATTGACTGCACAAAGCTTATTGCATGATTTGTTTTGACAGTCGTAGAAGTGGATAAATGAAATCCCCCTTAACTTCACATTAACTGAAGTACAGCTGCTGACCTGCCAGTTAATCATCCTGTTGTTAGATTGAACAAGATCAATAACTCAATCACTCAGCAATCATAAACTGTAATGTTGTACTTGTTCTTGAGTTATTTGACTTTGATGATGACAAGTGAGTGGTACTGTGACAGAGTTTTTCAACGGGGGTCTGTGGACCCCTTGTGGAATATAAAATAATTGCAAGGGATGATTTATATATATATATATATATATATATTACAATATATATATATATATATATATATTGTCATTTATTGCCACTTTTCTCTTAAAGTGCCCTTTAAATGTTCAGAAATTTTGCACAATACTAGCACAAATCCTTATCATTTAGTGACTTTGCATCAATTAGGCACAACAGGAACTATGAAAACACATTTTATTAAATATAAAAATAATGCACTGAGGATATAAAACCTATTTTACAAAGCCTCTTTGAACGGTGTACTAATGTGTCTGTTGTGTACTAGCCTTAATTGGTAGTCGATCAGTAAAGCTATAAGGATGTGTACAATAATCTCAATAATTCAGTAAATAAAACCTGGGCCAAGTTTAATTGAGTAATCAGGCATCACAGCTGCCAATGTGGTGTCTAACTGTGACGTGTAAGTACTGTATTGCTAATTTTAAGTATTTTTTAAAAATAAAATATCCATGCTGAATAATGAACTTAAATATGAATAATTAAGTTTTCCACTCTAAATCTCAGACTTTCAGTCATGTAACGCTGACTTTGTTTATATACTGCTGTAATCCATCTGCTGACCCCACTAAGACACTGCAGTTAGGAATTTGCCTTGTGAGCAGTATTTTCCTATTCTCTTAATCCCAGTAAACTCATATTTGCAATAAACAGAATTAAATTAAGACTTCAGATTGCTTGTGAAGGACGTGTAGCAGCTACTATACTAACACTTTGCATGAAAGAACAAGAAGCCTTATCATGCTCAAGAAATCCTGGGTTTCCTAAAAATTAACAGATTTAATATGCATCTTTGTTCATTAATCAGGATGTACTCTGTGCAAGAGGAATTGTAAAGAGGAATATAAATGGAGTAGTTCTATGAACAACCCGTAGTCACACACTCACTTAGAAAAGCATACAAACAAATAAAACTTTGTGGGTGCCACTCTCATTCCTCCGGGTTTCTCAGAATAGATTGCATAACAGATTTCTGGGCCGCTTTTACCTGCGGGAGCAGAGGGCAGTTTAATTTATTGTGATTGTTAGGCCAAAGCAAAGCCTGCAGGTAGATTGTGAACTGAAGGGAAGTGTGGATTAATTACAGAGTATTTAGCCAGAGAGGACAAAACACAGCAAGGGCCGTAAAAGGGATTTATTGTTCTGTTCTATTGGCGTGTCTTCACCCCAAGTCTTGCCTGATCTTTTTACTGACTTCTAACATTGCTTTTGATTGATTTATTTATTTACAGCTGCTGATACTGCTTTCCCCACATATTTTCTATTTTTTCCCCCCATGCTGTCTGCATGTTTTAGGAATATAACTTTTTAGAACTTTTTCAGATATTCGCCTGATATCCAGTTTATTTAGGCACTTTATCTAGCCCATTGTTTCAGATGATGATCAAATGATGAGTGCCTTTAGAAATACCTTTTTTTCTGAGATTTTGATGCCTTTTATAGGTGCAGATATATATGGACTCAATGTGTTGAATCACTAGGCCATCGTTCTGATACCTAAAGATGTTTTACAATGTACTTCAGAAGGGAGATACTCTGATAATGCCCTGGTAATATTTCAACATAATGATAAAGCTGAGCATAAGAACTCCTCTAAAGTGATTCCTAAATTATTTATGGAAAAGGGCACCTGCCTGAAGCTCTTTATTTGATGTTCCCTGCTGATTGTTGCAGATGTTATCACAGTAATATTATTTCAGTTGAAGGGATAGTTCATCCAAAAATTTAAATTCTATTATCATTTACTCACCCTCATGTCTTTCCAAACCTGTATGATTTTCTTTCTTCTATGGAAGACAAAATAAGATGTGAAGAATGTTGGTCACTAAACAATTTTGGTAACCGTTGGTTATGTTAGTTGTATGTTGGTACTGTTGTTTCAATCTCAGGGGAGTCCCCTAAACTTCAACTTCCAGAGAGATCATTTCATAGCTAATATGGATGACTCCACTCAGATCTTTCACAAAATATTTAAAGATTCATCACTGTCCTTTCCAGTCAGTGCAAGAGTCAGGAAAAGAGAGATGAGTTATAAAATGCCTGAGCTGCAAATGTCCTAGTCCAGGAGCCAAGCAGTGAAAAACTGAGAGAAGATGAGCATTTGACATGAACATGTGACTAGGTCCCCAGATATTCTATTCTATTCACTACATTCCATTTTGTCAGGCATCCCAGAATACACAGTTGAAACCCCATGAAGGATAATTTGCTGTGCTGATAGCATCTCTATCTATAACAGTGAGAATGCCATTACTGGCTTGGCATGTGAGAGATGCATTAGTTCATCGAGAGCATCCTGGGACATAAGTGCATGTATGCACTACACTGTTAACTTCACAATAAGGTGCATTAGGCCTGGCTTGTAAATTAGAGCCCGGGCTCTTAGCCACCTTAAGATGCCTCCACTTATATGTGTAATATATCATGGTACAGCCGTGCCGCAGCACCTCACACTCCGACAATTGTGATTGATGACTGAAGGTTAACCTTCACGGGCCAGGGTGTATGTTCACTATACCGCATTGGGGAAGAGTAATGGAGATGGGGTTTTCTTATGGAAGCTGGGCTGCAGTGAGAAGGGGGTTGGGTTCTTCCTACAGAAACATACATTTTAGAATGCTTTGTTATTATTATTATGCTTTTAACTCAGCAAGCATGCATTAAATTGATCAAAAGTGACAGTAAATCCTTAACATTGTTCCAAAAAAAAATCTATTTCACATAAATGCTTTTCTTTGATATTTCTATTCATTAAAGAAACCTGAAAACAATGTCACATTTTTAAAAAAAAATATATATATATATTAAGAACTTTCCAAGTGTGATAATAATAAAAAATGTTCATTGAGCAACAAAATATCATGTAAGAAGGATTTCTGAAGGATCATGTGACACTGAAGATTGGAGTAACGGCTGCTGAAAATTCAGCTTTGCCATCAGAGGAATAAATTGCATTTTAAAATATAATAAAATAGAAAAGAGTTATTATATTATTTTATAATATTGCTTTAAATTGTAATAATATTTAAACATATTATTTTTACTGTATTTATTTAAAACAAGGAAATAAATAAATAAATAACTCTATGAGACTTCTTTCAAAAACATATCGAATCTACAATTTTGAACCTCATTTCTTTATTTATTTTTGCAGGTTTGATTATTTTCAGCCTATATATAGATTCAAAGTAATATTTAGAGTTTAATCAAGTACTATTGAAACATCTCTTTTATAACACTCTCAAATAAGAATGATAAATTGCTGTAGATTTGACATAGAGATTCAACTTTGCAGAAACTATATTCCCTCGTCATAAAGGTAACTTCTTGAAAATCCTACCCACACAAAATAGTGTTACAAGCACAAAAGGGACCATTAAAATACATATAAGCACCTCATCCCTCTAGGTTTTGGGGTCACGCTCACTCTGGAAGTTCTTCTTTTAATATGAGAAAGATTAGCTTTGTGTTTATCCCTGGTCCAGCTCACCATGGCCCTGCTAGATTTACAGAGCTTCACAGAAGGCATTTGTGCCCTGCGTGAAATCATTCTGAAAAGCCAAGCAGTGGGTGTTTTTTTCCCTATTGTGTTAAAGTTGAGCAAAAGTGGACGAGCATATCGTCTTCAGCACTGCATGTTCCAGCTCTGTCATGATCTCTCTCATCTGAGGGCATCAAAGCAGGAAGTCACGCTTTCATATGCTCTTATAAGTCCAGACAACACTGCACCCTCTTTCTCTCGGATGTATTTCTCATCAGTATGGCATCAGTCTGATTTCTATATGACAGACTGTGGCAGCCGTAGACATTCATTTAGCCCCCTGCCCCAACCAACATGATGAATCAATTACAGTGGCCGCCCTGTTTTCAGAGGTTTAATAAAATCTATTGCTCTATTTCAGTGCTTCTTAAAGTACAGGCTCCTAAACCAAACTAGGTCACGTACCTGTAAATGTTCGGCCGCAG